TCTGGTGAACCTCCTGGAACCAGCTGCATTACACAAAGATAAATGCAAATGAATGGTATAATAGATTGGGGGATTCACAAAAAGGTATGATGATATAAAAAGAGAAAGAAGATGAGTGGGGATTAATATTTGTGGCTAAACCATCATTATTACTCACAATGGCAATGTTGTTTCCATTCAGCAAAATTTGATCAAGCTTTGTTATCCGACGTCCCTCAGATGTGATCTCGCTGCAATGAAAAAGGGTTTTACTATTAATTTCAAATAAAGAGACAGATTGTGAGGTATCATTATGATGACTGACAAGTTACGTGTTCCTGACATGGTCAAGAATAATAAAGAAATGCATAATAATGCTCTCAACGTCTTTTTTTACAGAGAAATCACAAGATAAGAACACGCTAAATGCATTATGCAAACGTTTGTGGCAACTATGAAATACACAAGCATAGCTACCTCGAACAGATACAATTTTGTATGCCTTGGTTGATTTAAAAAAGTGAGATGTGAGAAGCCAAACCAATCCCTACATGCCCGGTATATCCCACTCAAAAGTACAGGCTGGGAGTAAGATATACGAATGCATTAGCTCTACTATAAAGAAATAAAGACAACTATTTTTTAGAGAACCCCGACAAACCAAGAGTAGTATGAGTAGTGTGTAAAGGAAAACATTAGAGAGTTAGAGGGCCCAGCTTCCAAAAGCATTTGAATGCAACCCTTAGGTACTCCACAACACTAATATGACTTCTGCGAGAACTCTTATAAGAGGTCGTGTTTAGAAAAAAAGGCCAAAAGCTAGTAAGCAACTGTGTTTGATCTCAACTATTCATACCATGTTCTCTGTGAGCTGCTTCTGCTCCCCGTCTCATCAACCAAAACTCCCTCCCAATATAGAGGATAAAGAAATGGTGTTATTTATCAAAGATATCTACTCTCTCTCACTTCCACTATGTTTGGTTCAAGGAATTTGAAAGGGAAAAGAAAAGAAAAGAAAATGAAGTGGAAAACAGTTTTTCTTGTTTGGTTAGAGAGGAAAAGAAAGGAAAAGTGGAAGGAAAAGAAAATGAGAAGGCAAATGTACTAAGTGGAAGGAAAACCAAATTCCTCCCATTTAGGTGAGAAAAATGAGAGAAAATCATTTTCTTTTCTTTTCCTTCCAAATTTGAGCTCTTTGAAAAATAGAAATCATATCATTCAGGCAGACACAAGTTCAGTTCTCCTATTTTATGCCAAAAATTGAGAATATCCTATGCCTCTTCATATACTTTTCAGTGACATGGAAACTTATATCCTTTCATTCCATCATCTCCCATGGAGCCAAAGATTCACTGTTTTTTGTTTTGGGATATGATGGAATAAAGCAAAAGGACCCTTTAAATGTTTGTGCTTCTTTTGATAGTGGAAGAGCATACTAGCAATTAGTCAATGCAACTCTCAACGGTCATCATGGGTCATTTGGAAACAGTCGCTCTATGCTTTAAACATGGGTGTCAGTCAACATACATCCAAATCCACCCCCC